GCTGGGCTGAGCACGGCTGCATTTGTGTCACCTGCACTGGGCTGAGCCCTGCTGCGCTCGTGTCACCCGTGCTGGGCTGAGCACTGGCACACTCCTGTCACCCGCTGGAGGCTGAGCCTTGGTGCTTTTATGTCACCCCCCCAAGGGCTGAGCCCTGGCGCGCTTGTGTCACCTCCCTCAGGGGCTGAGCCCGACCCACTCATGCCAGGCGGGGCCCTGTCACACTCCTGTCCCGCTTGTGTCCCCCCCGGGCGCGGAGGCGCCAGGCGCCCGCCCTGCCCCGGCTCACGGCGTCGGTGTGGGGCACGGCGGCGGGCGCCCAGTCCCCGCCGGGCCGGCGGCTCTGGTTCTCGTAAACCTCCTCCAGCACCTTGGCCACGTTGGTCTCCGTGTCCAGCAGCAGCCTGGTGGCGGTGGCACCGGTGGCACCGTGCTCCCCGTGGCAGGGACACGGGGACACGGTGGCTCACCGCCGCTGCGGCTCCACGCGCCACTCGCCGTCCCAGCGCCAGCCCCGCGGCGGGCGCAGCTTGTCCCGGGGCAGGGCCACTTTGCCAGTGACGTCGGAAAAGACGGGCCGGGCCACCAGCCCCCGGGTGCCCCACTTGCCGAGGAGCTTCAGCTGGTTCTCGTACTGCGGGGAGCGGCCGGCGGTCACGGAGGGGACGCCGGGGACGCCGGGGCCCCGCGGGCACGCTCACCGTCTCGGCGTGGACCTGCAGGGCGCCCTCGAGGTGCCGCGCCAGCTCCGTGCCCTCGGCCGCCAGCGCCAGCCAGAGCCGCACGCGCAGCTGGGCGCACACGGCCTCGGGCTCGCCCTGCTCCCGCGGTACCTGCCGGCGGCACCGCGCTCAGCCGGGACGTCACCCGCTCCCCGTGCCGCGCCGGGGTGGGCCACGGAGGTGGCAGGGCCCGGGCAATGCCAGGGGAAGGGTACCCGGATGGTGCCCAGGCAAAGCTGCAGTGCCTAATGCGGTGCGGGATGGCCCAGAGGAGGTGCTGGGGTGCCAGGTGCGATGCCAGGCAATAGCCAGGCGGTGCTGGCAGGAGCCAGGATGTCACCTGGCACTGGGGTGATGCCGGGATGCTGGCTGGGATGTGGGATGGTACCCGGGCAATGTCAGCATGGCAGAGAGGATGACACCTGGAATGAACCAGGTTGGTGAACAGTGCCCAGGTGATGCTGGGGTGAACCAGGTTGGCGAATGGTGCCTGGGTGATGCTGGGGTGAACCGGGATGGTGAATGGTCCCCGGGTGATGCTGGGGTGAACCAGGACGGTGAACAGTGCCCAGGTGAGGCTGGGGTGAACCAGGATGGCAACTGGTCCCTGGGTGATGCTGGGGTGAATCAGGTTGGTCAATGGTGCCCGGGTGATGCTGGGGTGAACCGGGACGGTGAATGGTGCCCAGGTGATGCTGGGGTGAACCAGGTTGGTCAATGGTG